TTTATCCGATTCCGTTTATATCAGGTTGTTAATGTTTAGTCTAAAATGTAACTCTGGGGCAGAATAAAAAAGCATGCAGCACGACATGTCTTGAGTTTGAATATAGAAACATTACATGGTGTCAGAAGGAAAAGAAATGGAACACATTCGTCCTCCACCAGAGTTAGACTTCTCTACTACAGACGGAAATTTACCGGAGAGATGGAGAAAGTGGGAACAAACGATGAAATTGTACCTGAACATTGCCATGCATGAGAGAAACGAAAAAGATAAGTGTAGTGCTTTTCTCTATATCATTGGTCAAGAAGGCAGAGAAATATTTAACACTATGACAATACCAGATGAAGATATTGATAAGATTGATACACTTTTTACGAAGTTCAAAGACTACTGTGCTCATAGAGAAAATATTACAGTTTGGAGACATAGGTTTCACACCAGAGTTCAAGGTAAAATAGAAACCATTGACCAATATGTCACAGACTTGAAAATAATTTCCAAAAACTGTAAATTTGGTGCATTGGAAGATGAAATGCTAAGAGACAGAATTGTATGTGGAGTTTATTCAGAGAAAGTCAAAGAAAGATTACTCAGAGACAATGAACTCACATTACAGAAAGCTTTAAGTATGTGTCGTGCTAATGAAGAGTCACAGAATAGATTAAAGGATCTACAACATGAGGAACATGTGGATGCTGTGAAATATAAACAGTCTGTCAAAGCGTCAGTAGGAAACAAATTTCCGTCAACCCAGAAATATATGAAGGGAAATGTGTATCAACCCAAGAAGCAAAGTGTGTCAAGTAAACCTATCAACACAAAATCCTTTACATGTGGAAAATGTGGAAGCCAGCATGAGAAAGGAAAATGTCCGGCATTCGGGAAAAATGTAACAGATGTCACAAGTTAGGACATTTTGCATCAAAGTGCAGGACTAAGTCTATTCATTCAAATGAACTAGAAACAGATGAAATGACAAACAGCTGTGAGACAAGTGAGAAGTTCTTTATTGGTGCTATTTCAAGTGGAAACAGTCAAGATGAAATCTACTCAAGTTTGGAAATAAACAACATTCCTATCAAGTTCAAGTTGGACACAGGCTCTCAAGTGAATATCATCACAGAGAAAATCTTCAAGAAACTAAACAGCACACTCACCAAAACTAATGTGAAACTTACGAGTTACTCAGGTGATTCCATACCTATAGCGGGAAAGTGTGTTCTTCCATACAAAGATCAACAACTTGAATGTTACGTTACACACGCAAATCAACCATCAGTATTAGGATATAAGAGTTGTTGTGAACTAGGGTTGATCAAAGTGACACTAGCTACAGAAAAACTACAGTGTGATTTTTCACCTATTGAGGAATTTCCAAGTGTTTTTACAGGATTAGGGTGCTTGAAGGAACCATACACCATCCGTGTTGACAGTAGCGTACCACCTATTGTTCATAGTCCTAGACAAATACCAGTAGCATTCCGTGAGGAACTCAAGAAAACTCTAGATGATATGGAAGCCAAGGAAGTGATCAAGAAAGTTGACCAACCAACTGATTGGGTTAATTCTCTTGTGATCGCTGAAAAATCCAAAACAGGAAAATTACGCATATGTCTGGATCCTCGTGACTTGAATGAAGCCATCAAACGTGAACATTTTCAGTTACCTACCATTGAGGACATCACAACCAGATTATCCGGAGCCACAATTTTCAGCAAACTTGATGCAAATAGTGGATACTGGCAAATACCACTAGATGAGGCCAGTCAACTTCTTACAACATTTCATACACCATATGGACGATACTGTTTCAGACGCATGCCTTTTGGCATAAAGAGTGCACAGGAAGTTTTTCAGAAGAGGATTGCTCAACATTTTGACAGTATTGAAGGTGTTGAAGTGGACATAGACGACATACTTGTGTGGGGGAGAAATAAAGAGGAACACAACAGACGACTAAAAGCCGTACTACAGAAATGCATGGAAATTAACCTTACCCTAAATAAGGACAAATGTCAGTTCAACAAGACAGAGATTGTTTACATAGGACATGTGATCTCCAAGGAAGGAGTAAAACCTGACCGAGAGAAAGTCGAAGCAATTATCAACATGCCACCGCCAACGGATAAGAAAGGAGTCGAGCGTCTGCTAGGAACTGTGAATTATCTTGCCAAATTCATTCCAAACATGTCAGTCATAAATGAACCAATCCGAAGCTTACTCAGAAGTGAAAATATGTTTATCTGGGAGAAACCACAGGAGGATGCGTTCAAGGCTATCAAGGAAATTTTGTCCAAGGAACCAGTTCTTACTTTTTTCAATGTGAAAAAACCTATATGCGTTAGTGTGGATGCTTCAAAATGTGGACTAGGTGCAGTGCTTATACAGGACAAAAAACCAGTTGCTTATGCGTCTAGAGCGTTAACAGAGACTGAAAAACGTTATGCTCAGATAGAAAAAGAACTGTTAGCTGTTACTTTTGGTCTAGAAAGATTCCACCAGTATACTTATGGAGTAAACGTTGTTGTTGAAAATGACCACAAGCCGCTGGAGAACATTCTCAAGAAGTCACTGGTTCAAGCTCCACCGAGGCTACAAAGACTACTACTTCGCCTACAGAAATATTGCTTTGAATTCAAATACACTCCGGGAAAAGATTTGATAATAGCGGACACACTGTCTCGTGCTCATCTACCTACAGTGAAAAAACAGAAAGATGAGATAGATGATGAAATTGAAGCTTATGTGAATTCTGTGTTTTTTGAGGGGATTCCTATAGCTAAGGATATTCTACAAGATATCAAAAATGAAACCAGGAATGACACAATTCTCAGGGAAGTGATTCATCATATTGAAAATGGTTGGCCAGAATACAGGAATCAGCTGTCCAAACCATTACAAGAATTTTGGAGGATGAAATCTGAGTTAACATCTGTGAATGGAATTGTTATGATTAACGAAAGAATCGTCATTCCAGAAGTTCTACAACCAGAAATCCTTAGATACCTTCATGTAGGACACTTCGGTATTGAAAAAACAAAGGCTCGTGCAAGGACTGTAGTTTATTGGATCGGAATGAATGCAGACATTGCCTCAATGATATCCAAATGCAACACATGCATGGACTTCAGAAAGAAGAATACAAAAGAAACATTAAGACCAACACCCATACCAAATGGACCATGGCAGCTTGTCGGAACTGTTCTATTCACACTTAACAATGAAGACTATTTGGTTATCGTGGATTACTACTCCAAATTCTTTGAAATCGCTAAACTTGAAAATACTAGGAGTAAAACTGTCATAATTCATATGAAATCTGCATTTGCCCGACATGGCATACCATTTAAAGTAATCAGCGACAATGGACCGCAATATACATCCAGAGAATTCAAGGATTTCGCAAACAAATGGGCATTCAAGCACATAACATCAAGCCCGTACTATCCACAAGGGAATGGTTTAGCGGAAAAAAAACTGTCCAAACAGCAAAACGTATGTTGGAAAAAGCCAGAGTCGATGGACGGGATCCTTACATTAGTCTACTAGAATACAGGAACACGTCGTCAGATGTTGATTCCCCAGCGCAACTACTAATGAGCAGACAACTCAGATCTATTCTACCCATCACCAAAGAACAACTCAGACCTAAAGTCATTCCAGCAGAGAAAACTTATGAAAAAAGAAGAAACTCACAGGATCAACAGAAGAAGTATTTCAACAGTGGACAGAAAGATCTTCCATATTTGAAACCGGGAAATACAGTTCGATTCCAACACAGAGGACATTGGATGCCAAGATACGTGAAAGATAAAGTTCATGATCGATCGTACAATGTAGAAAACTTAAATGGTGATAAATTTCGTCGAAATCGCAGAGACATCATCAAATCAGAGGAAACGAGTTTTCGAAAAGCTATCTCAGAACATGATGACCTAGATGACTTCAGTGAGACAGAAGTACCCGTGCAGCCAGTACTTGAGAAAAGTGTGCCAGAACAATCGTTAGAGCCAAATCAGCCGATACGAGCAGAAACGTATAAAACACGATCCGGACGTGAGGTCAGACGACCTAAAAGATTCCAGGATTATGTGTGATGTGATTATGTGAGGGGCATAATAATCCCCAAGTGATGTAATTGTGTGAGGGGCATAATAATCCCCAATGTTATAAAATTTGAGAACTTACCGGTATATTGAAAGATGAATTCATGATTGACTGTATATATTATGTAAATATGTTATACTCTATATCTCTAACTTTCAGTAAATTATGAATTTGAAATTTTCTATCTAAATTAACAGTAAAAGTTTATTTTGTACATTTTATCTTTAAAAGGGGAAAGATGTAATGATATGTACATGTAATCCGTTTTTATCCGATTCCGTTTATATCAGGTTGTTAATGTTTAGTCTAAAATGTAACTCTGGGGCAGAATAAAAAAGCATGCAGCACGACATGTCTTGAGTTTGAATATAGAAACATTACAGACGATTCTAGATACATATGTACTGTTCTGTTCTTTAGAAGATTTTTGAGAATTATTTATATGCACACCTACGTAAAAAATTTAATCACCTATGATTGTTTATCCCAACCCCAGGGATCATGATTTTAAAAAAATCTTATATTTACATAACGTTTCCCGATATATTTGAATATAAAACTTTTGCTTCGTGTGATCCCATGCTAGACCCTGGGTTCATCAATTCAACAAGTCTTTCGACTCAGATAAGCTAAAACAATCATCGGTAAGGCGTAAAGCGAACAACTGACCTACAAATATGTTTTCAGAAAGTTTTTCTTTACTTTGCTCACATTTTTATACCCATTTACTTCTGACGAAGAATACCAAACTTAAATTTAAAAAAAATGATTTTGCAACTTAATTGTATATTTTTTCTTTGATGCTTTGCAAAAAATATAGAAAGGACACTTGTTGTATCTATTAACAGTTACACTGTGTTGTACTCATGAAGAAACATGGACTTCAACTTCACATAATGCAAGGTTGTTAATAGATCCATACGTTATCTGCAGTCTAACCATGTTCCTAGGAACGCTATCTTCGCATAATATCTCCACCACTTGCTTTGTTAGTCCGGGTCCCTTAAAAAATCCACAAGCTGTAAAATTGTAGTAACCTCGGAACACCCACAGTGTTAGGTCGTGAAGGCGCTCTCCTGGAAGGAAATTAAAAAATAAAATGTTAGATTTTTTTAAATGAAAAATTTCATCAATTTTGTACTCCTGTATAAGTTCAACAAATGAATTTTACCATTATATATATCTGTATATAGTAGAGACTGTTTGATACCCCTGCTTGAAAACTGAAAGGGATTATAGTGATCGGAATGTCCGTCCGTCTGTTACGTTTTCTTATCTGTCTTTTACCACTGGACGAAATATAATTTTATTTTCACAGAATCTTTGTTATATAGAGCCATTATTCATCTCCTATTTTACTTTTCGATCTCATACTTATTTCGGGTCTCCTAGAGCAAAACATATACATATTTGCCATTATAACCATATGGGAGGCGGGGGTATCATTACATGTTAGTCAGCTCAGTGCTCACAGTACTTAGCACCTCTAGGTTTTTCGGACGTTGCCGTTATTATTGTATGGAAGGCAATTGTTCACAGTACCTTTAGTTGTAGTCTTACTAATTTAATGTAAACAGATACTTGTATGTTTTAATGATTTAAAAACAATTGCAACTTTTCTTTATCTGGCGGAGGTATCATTAAGTCAGCTCAGTGCTCACAGTACTTAGCACCTCTAGGTTTTTGGGACGTTGCCATTATAATCATATGGAAGGCCATTGCTCACAATACCTTTAGTTGTATTCTAACTAATGTAATGTAGACATATACTTGTATGCTTTAATGATTTAAAACAATCCCAACTTTTCCTTATCTACATATTTAAAGTATCCTACCCATATTAGCATTCAATAGAATCGAATTGAATTGTCCTGTTTTAGTATCAGTATAATAGAATAGGATGTGCCTTAATTATTACCTTGTCCTGTCCAGGGAGAGTTTTCCCATTTTATTCATTTAAAATCAACTTGAAAGAATCTTTCCGTTTTTAAAAGTCTTTCTGTTCCTCATGATCAAATACATCTTTCTTGAAATTTCAGAGTATTTATTTTCTCAGTTACAATGAAACAAATGGAGATAACGAACAGTATTCAAGATTCAAAATTACTTCTTCCCATAGATTTCAATTTATTATTCTTGAATTAATTACCACGTAGGAAATAATTTGTTTTCAAAATTACTCCCTGTAAATCCTTTTCTACTCTAGAATACTTTGAACAATATCAGAGTATGTTACATGTAATTATATATAATGAATATTTTAGATTAGATACATTATGTCCTTATATGGGTCGGATACTTTAATTTGATATTTTTCATGTTCATTTATTTATCAATATGTGTTTTTATTATATGTATTGTAAATTATTACAGCTTGAGTATCTTTTCTCCAAATTCCATGAAGTTTTAGTGCAACGTACCTAATCCATCCTGTCGATTGTACAACCTTACAAAGGAAATGAAATAATCTCCTCCTAAATCAATTTGAATCCAGGGATGATCATCGTTGTTTGAGATAAAACACTGACGTGCATTCCATTCGTTGGCTACCTTTCCATCCACGGCCCAGACTGCTGCATACAAATCACTGTCATACGGAAATGTGGACGACGATGTCACCGTTTTACGTAAAGCGGCATTTCTTACTGATTGTATTTCTGTAAAAAAGTTTTTAGAGAAGATCCATTAATGTATAACTAATTTACATTTATGAATTGAAGTGAAAGGTTGGTATGGGAAATATTTTCCCAGAAATACAACCCACTTTAAAATATCCCAGAAATACAACCCACTTTATAATATTACGCACTTTTTTCCAAGATGCGTTAAATATGAGACGACATCATCGCACTTTGAAAAAAAAAAAACAGAGCAAACAGAAACTCTAAATCATCATAGAAGGAATTAGACTGGCTTGTCTGTCTGATCCTCGATATATAGACTTTTCGTACGAATGAGACAGGAAATGCCAATCTAAGAAGGGATGAGGATTAAATTTCATGGATGGATAATTGTTCAGTACTGTACTACATGTATATGTGGAAATTACATTTCAAGGTGGTCATAAATCCTTGGGTCTCTTCATACCGCGAAATCAACGAAAATTACCAACTCCCCCATAATTAGTGATTTAACAGTATCTATATTGGATTACGAATCGTCTTGTCCATGTTGGTTTTTTCGGCTATTTAAGTACGTTTATTGGAATTTTCTCAATTGCTTTAATTTACTTAAACATTTAAATGGCTACAGTAGATGTCAAAATTATATTTATATTCTAAAGAAGCCAAACACTTGACTCTCATTTTCTGCCACAGACTGTCTACTTAATGTAACATGCGATCGGCATTGTGAGTGTTAACACGTGTTGTGTAGATATTATGATGTTTACCTTATATTTAATGATAGTGCCGCTCTTTTTTGAGAAGCGCTGTATAAAAATAAAGCTAAAAAACAGGAATTCACGAATTCCAATATTAATTATATTCATATCCGATTCATATCCGAAATTTTTTAAGAAATTACCTAATGAACTAACTACAAAATATTTCCCGCAGCCACATAACCATCATGATGGCAATTAAAATACGTAGCATACAGTACTCCATATTAAGCAAACGTAGTTGGTCTTTAAAAAGAATTAAAGAACACGAAAAATATTTCGAAAAGCTGGTGTGACCGGTCGGCACGAGATGCTTACTCCTCGATGGCACCTGATCCTACCGACGACGTTTTGAAGGTCGGTGTTAGCTCCGGTCCGCCCCTGATTGGTATTGTTTTATTGGACTTTTAGGCTTGAATTCTCAATCTGTTCGTATTTTCTATATATTTCACTTCTGGGACGTATTCTGCCTGACCGCACCTCTGATTTTTAAACGATATCTGCTTCCTCTGCTCCACATAATTTGTTCTTGAATTGACATTATAGCTGGAATTTGATCTATGTTGACCGGAATGTAAAAAGTATTTTACAACAATTATAATGATATCGTTTTAGTCACATACCATAGTGCTGCCCTTTCCTGGTAAGGTTTTCAGAGCAATGTGCGCAGTAGATTATGGTACAATCCCAATGACAAAAATTTGTAGAAGAAATATAAAAGAAGGTCACACATTTACTTCCCGTAGAGAGACTGGCACACTGTAGCAGACTTTTTACGTGTAGACTTTTACAATCCTTGTAATTGTATTGCACTGAGGTTTCTTTCTGAATAAACCACGGAACTGCCATGCATATGAATAGAATAGAATATATATAAACAATATGCAATGAACACTGTAAAATCATCATCCTCATAACACAGTGTATATTATTTTTAAAGAACGAAATACAAATTATAAAGAGGCCTTAGCATGATGAACTAACTTGATCACTTTTAATTTCATTTTTTTTTCAATCTTTACAATACATTGGCATCGATTAAATTGAAGTGGCTTATTAATAAAACTTAATTGATTTTCAAACTCCAAATATGAAATTTTATGCATTAATTATATCTTATTCAGAATATTGTCTGATAAAATCTTTATTATTTCATTTGCATAAATTATCTTGTTTATTATAAATATTATAGTTTATTACTACTATACTCAATCTAAATTGTTGATTGTCTTGCAGTCCCTTAATTATCATTTTATGTCTTATTCATAGACTGATCGAGATCTACCCGGTATCCTACACGCAAAACCCTATACTGATGGAATCGGCAGGTATGAATTTCAGGAACTGTTCTGAAGACACTTTAAAATAATGGCAAATGATTCTAAATTAAAGCTATCCACGAAAAAGACAGAAATCATTACAAGATTGAAACATATTTTATATAGTTTATGTAGATTGTTTTTTTTTTTTATTTTTAAGTCGTGATGTATTAATTTATTACTGTTGCGATAATTGATAATTAACCTTAAAACTATTTGGAATCATTATATGCAAATATGTAATTAAAAGCGTCCTTTGGATAATTCTGTCTGTACAGCTATTGTGAAAGTAGAGCTATATACATGGAATCAGTTTATTTAAAGAGTAGCTTTAAAGAAGTCAACAAATGCAACAACGACAACTACATCTACCATCCTTTTATTTTACAAATAAATAAATAATCTATTTAATTCACTTCTAGTCGCCCGCGTAGCAAAGTGGTTACAGCGTCTGGTCAAGAGCCACGAAATAAGGCTCCGAGCTAATCCTTATGTCGCGGGTTCGAATTCCACTGTTGGACATGGAGACCGGTCCTTCGGAAGAGACTTTCTAAACCGAGGTCCCGTGTTGCAGGAGGGACTGGCACACAATAGATTCCTAGCTTCTCAATGGCCATTGGTGCCGAGGGTAGGACAAAATTTGTTGCTTCTAAACCCTCCGTTCACACAGAGCTGCGATTCTACGGCAATCATACCGATCAAGCCACAATCTGAAAAAAGTTTTGGATCTGGGCAGATCGCAGTCGATCGGCGTCTAAATAGAGCAATTTGGCAAAAATGGTCTTCGTAACAACCGTGCTACGATGTCGCTACGTCAAACGCGTTGCTAACACACTTCCATTACGATGTCACGCAGACTGTTGCCGACAAGCGGCCGTGTTTACTGCGTTTACGCTACGCTGCCACTACGACATTGAAGACCATACTACGACGCTACACAGACTTAGATGACTGTACCGCGATGTCGCTACGGTGGTGCCGATCATATTACGATTGCATTACGCTTCTAGTACGATTTTGGCGATGATGGAAATTTATCTTGCAACAGCAGATTTTTGTAGTACGATTTTAGCAATGCGACCGCAGTTTTTTTGCGCCTTTACTGGCATTTTCAATTATAACTGTAAAAAAGATGTGAAAAGTCTCAATTGCAAATGATCATCAAGTAAAGTGTGACCCTTTACATGTATTTTACAGATGGTGATTGGTCAAATATCAACGCTATAAGAATAAACTTCTGCCTGATAGGTCGTGATATGATCGGCGTAAGGTCATTGTAGGTCTTCGTAGGATCTTCAGGAACGTAGAGAGATCGTAGTGAGAACGTAGTACAAACGTAGAGGGAGCGTTGTATGAGCGTGCTTGTTAATTTCCTACGCTCTTACGGCGCTTTTACTACGATCACGAAGATCTCTCTACGATGCTTTCGCGCTGCTTGTACGATTGTGGTGCTTCTACTACGCTCCTTTTACGACTTAACCCCGATTCATGTTGGTCACGATCCAGATACGTTTGTTTTGAACATGTTCAAAATAAGCGTGGTGAGAGCGTAGAGCTCTCCGATCATAAAGACCCTACTACGATCATACTACGCTTATGACGACTCCACGACGTTTCTCCTGCGATTTGTTACGATCGGCCACGCTTTCGACCAAGCTTTGATCGTAGTAGAAGCGGCGTCTATGTGTGAACGGGGGGTAACAGGCAAATGGTTGCGTCTCTATATGAATGAAAAACTCGAAAGAGGGACGTTAAATATACAATCAATCATTTAATTCACGTCTACTTTTGATAAAAGTTTCTATTTAAATTCTGAAGATTATCAAGGTGATCTTATATAATGCTTCAAAGTTTGAGGGGAGAGAAAGTTTGCTATAATGAAGGAATCAAAAATAGCTTTAACATTTCTATGTCTTCCTAACTACATCAAAACTTTAAAAAATAATAGCCTGGGAAAAACAGTTTTTCTAGTTGTTCAAATGTCTTTCTTCTTTGATTGATACCTGGACTTATTTGGAGGTATTAGAGGTGAGTATGCGTAACAAAAATTGACAGTATAGAATCAAAATTATGAAATTGAGGTAATCTGTTAGTATTATATTCTAGATAGCAAAAATGCAAAGTAGCAACTCAATTCAAATTTTACAACATATATCCACAAAAGTTGTAGGTTAACACTTAACTGTAAACATCTACATTGATTTGAATTGAATTACTGCTAGTTTACTCTGGTAATTGTTTTTCCACTTTCATCGATTCATTATAAGTAACATGAAAGCGTCATACTTAGATGTACATTATATATTTTAAACTCTAACCTTTGTACTTTCGACCAGACGATCTACAATATTGCATTCAATCCATTTGAAAACTTGATAAATTCAGAGATTATAAAGAATGAGAAAGAATAGAAATATGGACTACCTATTTTATTTAAACCACGGTAAATCGGGAAATGCAACTACAGAAAAGTATTACATATGGTTTAATTTCTAATTCTTTTCACATAAATAACAAAATGATAAGTAAATACTTTCATTTCTCAAAAGTTTTCACGGAGATTACTTAGCAGTGGGTACTATCAGGTTTAATTAACTGCATCAATATCTGTAATTGAAATAAGAAAAACTCCTTAGATCTGATAGATTCAGAGTAGAATTTCTCCTAAGAATTTCATACATTGCATATGGGAATGGTTGCATAAAAAGATGAAAATTCGTTGAGAATATTTTTCAATACATTCATTTTTCACTATGACTTATTAATCTCCTCCTGGAAAAGGATGTGAATCTTATCTGAACAAATTTGAATCCTCTTTAGCCGAGGATACTACCAGTATGTGTCAAGTTTGGTTGAAATTTAACAATCCATAAAAAAGACAGGCAAGCCGAAATTTTGATCAGAAAAAATTACTTGAGCATTCGACTCAGGTGAGCTAAAATAATCGGTCAGCCGAAAAGCAAACAACCAACAAATATGTTTTCAAAATATTATTTTACTGACTTTAATTACATTCTTACTCATGGTTACATCAGATGAAAAAAACTACGCGTAATTTAAAAAAGAATTTTTTGCACATCAAAAATAATTAAAAAAAAATTTAATATTCTGCAAAAATGAGAGAAAAGAGACCTTTTTTCTAATAACAGGTACACTTTTTAATTCCAAAAAAAAAAAAAAAAATTTGCACATCAAAAGTTAAAAAAAAAAGTTTCATGTTCTGCAAAAATGGGAGAAAGGAGACCTTTTTTCTAATAACAGGTACACTGTTTTGTATGAATTTATGTAGAGATATGGACTTCAACCTCACATAAGGCAAGACTGTTATAAGATCCATGCGTTATCTGCAGTCTAACCATGTTTCTAGGCAATGTATCTTCACATAATATCTCCACCACTTGCTTTGTTAGTCCGGGTCCCTTAAAGAATCCACAAACTGTAAAATTGTTGTTACCCTGGAACACCCACAATGTTAGGTCGTGAAGGCGCTCTCCTGGAAGGGAATTAAAACGTTGGATTTTATTTTTTTTTGAAAATTTGATTAATTTTGAACGCATGTTTAAATAAGGTAATGAATACAGAAATTTATAAGTTTTCATGGTTTAAAGCAATGAGGACTTTTCCCTATTTACATATTTACTTAATGGGGTATTCATCAATGTACGTGCCACCTATTCATTTGTTATTTGTAGCATTTGTTTGAATTATAATTGTTAACTATTAGAGCTTGAACACTGTTTGTTTTCTCCATATTTCATTAATTATTTTAGTGTTACATACCTAATCCATCCTGTCGATTGTGTAGCCTTACAAAGGAAATAAAATAATATCCTCCTACGTTAATTTGAATCCAAGGATTTTGCTCGTCGTTTGAAATAAAGCACTGATGTGAACTCCTTAAGTTGGCAACCTTTCCATCCACGGCCCAACCTGCTGCATACCAATGACTGTCATAGGGAAATGTGGATGACGAATGTGCATATTGTCCCAGTGCAGCGTTTCTAACTGACTGTATTTCTGAAAAGGTTTTAACTTCGTTAACATGTGATTTTACATAATTCAATTCAAGTGATTAGTTGGTATGAAAATTTTTGTTGTCTTGTCATACATTAGATTATTTTTAAAACCAATACATGTATAATTTTAATGAAAAAAAAATCATTGGAAAGAGCAAAGTTCTTAGCAATTTTTTTCACAATATTTCATATGTCCCCCAAATTATTTCTTTTCTGAAGTGTTTGCTCTTTTTACCGATAGATAAAAAAAAATATTTTAAAATATTTAATAATTGATACTTAAATTTATTAAATTTGAGTTTCATCCATTATCTTATTCTTAATATTTTTTTAAGATAATGAAGGAAAGACTTCTGCATAACGATCACTTCCTAACTTGACCATCCTTCCTATTCTTTTGATCGATATTCTGCAAAATTGACAGCATTGTCTTATTAAGAGGGGTTAAACAGTATTTAACTTACAAAGATATAATAATTCATTATAGCATGATACAATTTGGCATTTTTTTCATTAATTGAATTGCCGGAATTGTTATTTCCTAAAATCCTGAATTTGATATTTGCATTAATTAAGAAACTTCCCAATCAACCTACCATAGTGTTTCCGTTCACTGGTAAGTTTGTCTGAGCAGAGTGGACAGTAGATGATGGTACAATCCCATTGACAAAAATTTGTAGAAGGAGAAAAAAAGAAAGTCACACTTTTACTTCCCTTAGAGAGACTCGCACATTGTAACAGGCTTTCTACGTGTAGACATTTACAATCCTTGTAATTGTATTGCACAGAGGTTTCCTTCTGAACAAACCATTGGAATGAAAAACTCGATGCCATTAAATGAATGATATTTATTAAACATTTCAAAATAGTAATTTTCATTATTTTAATTCAGACTTCAACAATGTTAGAAACAAAGAAAATACAGGGCAAGTGTCAATCGAATTAAACAGAGCTCAGATGGTTGAGTTTATCACAAAAGTTAAGGTATAAGTCATAGGAATAATCCTCGGCAATAACATACAGACCTTCTTTCTCATGAAAAATTTAAATTAAAAAAAAGAAAACACTAAATATTAAACTAAAAATAAGTCCTCTTTTGGGGTAATGATATATTTTTTAATCTGATAAATCCGATCGCTGTAATGATATTGATTTTTTTTTTACCATTAACGTTAATTTGCATTTACTTCATTTATATTCTTGAGTATTTGATGTTATCTTTTATGGTATCTTTTAACGATCTTTTTCTTCTCACAAAGAATGCAAATTTGTCAAATAAATGTTTTGAGTTTTGAAAACACACAAAAAAGTAAATTTTCATTTTTTCGATCGCTGAAAATCTCTCCCTGTGTACCTTCCTGTCTTTACATATTATTATCCTTTAAATAATTGTTATTGATATATGTATTAAAAAGATCTCAATTAACTTATTGTTAATTATTCACTAAGTAAAAAGTAAGGTAAATTTAAAATATCGTTGAAACTTTTAAAATCCACTTAAGATTGATTGCAACATGAGTTTAATATACTGTAGTATAATATTTCTTATACCGTTACATCTTTTTGTTGATTTACTGTGTCCATATCCCTTGAAGATTTGGGTCAGCGTCATTATTTAATTATGATTTATTCAACGATTGGTTCGGTTTTATGTTCTCAAAATTAATTATAATCTCAAAATACACATATCAATTTGAAATCGTGGAAATGATATGACTTAATTTATTTCTAAATAAACTATTAAGTATTATGAATTTCAGTGTGCAGTTTTGCATTACGTCACAATTGTGTGATTGGTCAACTCATATTATCAATATTGACACGGATAATGTCTGTTGCACGAGCAACTAATCGGGGATTAGAAGAAACTTCAAGTCGTAAAGCTTGCGGTTAGGAGGCGTGTACTATTTACCTTGATCGCAGATCATCATAGGTTGTGACGTAATGGAAAACTGCATTGATAATGTTGATCTTCAATAATACGAAGACTTCCTATCCAGCTGAGAAATACATCTCTACGCTGTTCAGTAATAATTTTCATTTATTTAATTTCTAATTTTTTTTGTCGATCTAAGCTTTCAAACACAGAAAGTATTGTTTTGTATAATGTCTGAATATTTTCTACCAGTAATGTATATTAATACTAAGTCTAAATATTTAGTAAATGTTCAACATACCAGTATCACCTCACAAACCTCTGGTACTTTGCATCTTAAAAAGCGGTCTCAACAATCTACTTGAATGAAAAAATCTCTTTCTTCGTGTAGCATACCAAAAAAAAAAAAAACAAATATGTCAAAACCAAACCGATAAAGAGCTCCTCACATTCTTCAAAATTTTTTTCCATTTTGTGTTTGTCGAGGATTTCTCCATATAAAATTATGGATTTTGGACAACAAATAAGAAATGTTGTTTTTGCTGATATTTTCTTTATTACAAAATATATACTTCCACCTCACACAAGCACAGAATATTATGTGATCCCTCTGTAATCTGTAGTCTAACAATGTTACTAGGCACAGTATCTTCACATAATATGTCCACCACTTGCTTCGTTAGCCCTGGCCCTTTAAAGAATCCACAAGTTGTGAAATTATGGTCATCCTGGAACACCCACAATGTTACATCGTGAAGGCGATATCCTAAAAGAAAAAAAGTGTAAGGAACTGAATTGTTTAATTTAAATATGAGTGAATAGCATAAGTAAATTATTAAATATGTTTCTTTTACTTTTTTGTCAAACGATGATTTAGGCCCCTGAAAAGTACCACGCCCTCCGGGTTCATTTGATTTTCTACTTCGAATATGATTAAATCATCATTTTATGAAAACACGGCCAAAATTGTTACACATTATGAGTTATTCATTGAATGAAACCAACGTGTCCATCAACACAAACATCCACCCAATGATAGATCGCATTTTCTTATTATAGCATTATAACGACCATAGAATTTAATTATTGCTAACACTGTCGATGAATCCTTATAAATACAACTTATCAGTGTGTAGTGTGTCTCGCTTAAAAAATTCATAGTACTCAGATAAAGTTCTTGAGTAGCAAAAAGTAAAAATACAATAAGCATATGCTACAATCAAGTTTTGAATACCATATAAAGTTTTAAAGGATCGCATACCATCTCCATCCTGCCTGTTGTACAACCTTACAAAAGAGATGAGATAGTGTCCTCCTAAATGAATCTGAATCCAGGGTCTTGATTCAAAGTTTGTAAGTGTACACTGATGAGCACTTTGTCGGTTTAGAATCTCCCCATCGACAGATCGTACAACCCCTGCCGGCCGGCCACTCCCGCTGGTGCTCCTTGTCACGGCCGGGAAATAACGGGAAAACCCGTCAATAATTCAGTGTGTGCACTATGGCCTAACAATTAGCATAGGTCAGCATTTGATTTAATGATAGATTGTATTTGCAGACAAGGTCACTGGACCATAGGACGTATGGAATTATTTAAACAAGATATTATTGTTTCATGCACCTGTTTGTCAAAAGCTTGCCTCTTGTAAGAAATTGTTCGTTTCGTTAGTAGAACATGCTCTCACGTATCAAATCAACCGAGAGATATAAACCCTGTATACACGCGATAGGGGTATTTTGCTGCACAAGAAGGGGAAGGTGATTGTAATGTTAAAGTTTTCGTTAGATTACAACATCTCCAGTTCATTACTAGAAAAATATTTGAATTTTTAACAGATTTTCCAACTCAATATCTTCTATTTCATTCTCACTGGGATTAATTGTATTATGTGAGTGCATTGACGTTTGAAAAAAAAAAATGGTAATTTTGAATTTTTTGAGATCTTTGGAGTTTTATTACCATCCGAATTACACCTGTTCTCTTTATCGGCAGTTATTATTAGTAAAGATAAAGGCTTAGTAGGGCATTTTCTGGAAGCTGCAATATATCTCAGTGTGTCAGGTTTTTTAAGAAGTTTAGTAGGGTAGATCAAACTTACTTAAGTTGAATAGAATCTTGAAAGGATTAAACAACACTGGCAATGATATTGTTTAGCCACCTACCATAGTGTTTCCATTCGTTAGTAAGTTTTTCTGAGCAGAGTTGACAGTAGATTATGGTACAATCCCAGTGACAAAACATTGATGAAGGAACATAAAAGAAAGTCACACTTTTACTTCCCTTAGAGAGACTTGCACACTGTAACAGACTTTTTACGTGTAGAGTGTTACAATCCTTGTAGATGTATTGCACAGATGTTTCTTTTTGAACGAACCATGCGAATGCCATGCTTATGGATTAGGGTATAAATGCAAGAGGCCCATGGGCCTTATAGGTCACCTGAGCATTATGCAACAACTTTCCAGTGATTTAATTTGATTCATGTTTTAAGCCTGAGATGCTATGGCATTCACAATTTTGAAAGAGGCACCATTTGATCATCATAACAATACACTTAGCAGTTGCTTAGTTTGTTTACTTAATATCCATAGGCAGGGTGGGGGAACAAAAATGCATTTCAAGTAATCAGTAATATTCAGCAATAATCAGTAATGCCCCTATCACACATGAACCCCTGACCCTTAGGCCTAGATCCACACATTGCCCAATTTTTGAAAAGGCACCCTTGCTTTTCAAAAATATTTGATTAATACCAAGGAGCAGATCTCAAACAATTCATCCAGTTTCAGTATATAAGTACACCCCCCCCCCCTCATGGTACCCCTGACCCTGGGGCCTTGAAATTCACAATTCTGGAAGATTAGGGTCCTTGCTAATCATAACTACATAGGTAATTCATCTGCTTAATACCCAAGAGCAGAGAAGAAAATTTTCATTTTAATGTATTTTCACTATATAATCAATAGAGCCCCGCCCTATCACTAGAACCCCTGACCCTATGGCCATAAAATAAAAATTTTGGTAGAGGTATTCTTGCTCATCATAACTATGTACTTAGTTTATTTAATTCCTAGGAGCAGAAAAGAGTTTTTTTCAAAGAATTCATGTATTTTCATTATATAATCAATAGAGCCCTGCCCTAACACCCGAACCCTGATCCTGGGGCCATAAAATTCACAATTTTGGTAGACGCACTCTTGCACATCATAACTATGCACTTAGTTAGATTATTTAATACCCAGGAGCAGAGAAGAAGATTTTCAAAGAATTCATGTATTTTCACTATATAATCTATAGAGCCCCGCCCTAACACCAGAACCCCTGACCCTGGGCCATAAAATTCACAATTTTGGTAGAAGCACTCTTGCTCATCATAACTATGCACTTAGTTAGTTTATTTAATACCCAGGAGCAGAGAAGAAGATTTCAAAGAATTCATGAATTTTCACTATATAATCTATAGAGCCCCGCCCTAACACCAGAACCCCTGACCCTGGGGCCATAAAATTCACAATTTTGGTAGACGCACTCTTGCTCATCATAACTATGCATTAGTTAGTTTATTTAATACCCAGGAGCAGAGAAGAAGATTTTCAAAGAAATAATGCATTTTCACTATATACTTATTTAGCCCCGCCCTAGCAATAGAACCCCTGACCCTAGGGCCATGAATTTCACAATTTTGGTAAACGCACTCTTGCTCATCATAACTATGCACTTAGTTTATTTAATACCCAGGTGCAGAGAAGAAGATTTTCAAAGAAATAATGCATTTTCACTATATACTTATTTAGCCCCGCCCTAGCAATAGAACCCCTGACCCTAGGGCCATGAATTTCACAGTTTTGATAGAAGACTCTATGCTAATTACAATCATGCAAACAGTTTGACTGCTTGATGTCCAGGAGTAAAGAAGAAGATTTTTAAAGATTGCATTAATTTTAGTGGTTTTTGTCCCACCCCCCAGGCCCCAGGGAAGCAGGGACCACGAAATTCACAATCGTTGATCCCCCTTATCCATAGATTCTTTATGCCAAATTTGGTTGAAATAGGTTGTGTGGTTGCAGAGAAGAAGCTGAAAACGTTAAAATGTTAACGGACAACGCACGACGCACGACGACGGACGAAAACAGATAGCAATAGGTCATCTGAGTTTACTCAGGTGACCTAAAAATGCAATACCCACTGTAAAATTATCATCTTCATAATGATGCGAGCATTTTTAAAATACAATGTACATGAATATTTGGTAACGGTAAGGAGAGTACCAACACATCGGAATACTTTGATAACACTTTTTCTGTTTTTGATCGATGTATTACATCAGTATTGACTAAAAGAAGAAAAAAGCGAAAATCGATTTTAAAACGCCAAAAATCATGTTAGAAGGATGAAATTCTATCCATTAATTACATAATAAACATGATTTTTGTCTAAATACAATATTTGATATATTTGCATAAATAGTAAAAATTTAGAATATTATAAATATAATGTCGTAACTACTATTATGAATTTTAAAAAGCTGATAATATTGTCTCTTTAGCCACTTTAGCCTGTAATACTTATGAATAAATAATCAAGATTCCCTTCTTTTTTCCTTTAATGGATAATTTTAGAGTCAATATTCATAGATTTGTGAGATCTTCCCTAACAGCGCAAATATTCCAAGCTTAATTCTAACAGAAATGGAATCAGTAGGTTTGAATTTCAGTAATGAAATGATCTGGACAAAAAACTCGGTATACCAAAAAAAACCTAACCTATGAAAATGGCCAAATTTTACCATAAGATATTGCCTTCGTTCTATACAGTTTATGTAGGTTCTTTCTTTTTGTCGTCATTGTTAAGTTTGAGTTTTCCAATGATGGTAAAGCTAAACAAAATAATCAGAGTCGTTATATGTAAAAAGAATCCTAGGTCCAAAACCTTCTTGTGCATAGCTATTGGTGAAGAGAGGGATACATGGAATCAGTTTACTTCTTTCAGTTCTACCCTAATATAAATTTTGCAAAGTCAATTTAATGCGACTGTGAAAGATCTGTGAAATAGATTTATCATTGAATTGTAAATTTGCTAAATTTATATAATGTAAAGAATAGATAAGACGAATGGATACGGATTACAAATCTAGAGTCTGGTACATGCATCAGCAAAGACAACTAGAACAAATATTGCATATAAATCAATTTCTTATTATTTACACATCATTTACATGTTGTATAAATGTTATATCACTAAATCTGTAGGGAGACTACGATTGTTATATAGGATTACCAATTTTCACCTTTTAAAAATTTCTATAAAATCATTTCTTTAATCTTAAATTAAATTTATAGGCTTCCAAATAGATAGAGTGTTAAATGATTAAAAATATCATCACACCAGTAAAAAGAAATGATAAGACATCCCTCTAGAATATAAAGTAAGCAATCTATGAAAAGCTCCACAGTGTCCTATGTTTATCTTATCTTACACATACAAAATTAATGTCGTTTATGACACAAGTGATTATTTCTAAAAATTCAACATGAACTGTTGCACCCTTACCAATGCACTTTTACATAACATCCAAATAGTTCCATTTTTTTCTCGTAAGAATATATATTTTTGCATATTCATTTATATTCATAAACGTGCAAAAATAGAATATTTTGCATACAAATCATATGTAAACATTAATGAATATTTTTACAATACAGTTTGCATGTCGTCCACAATTTTTTGCACATCAAAAGTTAAAAAAAAATTATTTTATATTTTGCGAAACTTAGAGAAAGGACACATTTTATCTGTTTGGGGGTAAAATGTTTTGTATTCATGCAGAGATATGGACTTCAACCTCACATAAGGCAAGACTGTTATAAGATCCATACGTTATCTGCAGTCTAACAATGTTTCTAGGCAAGGTATCTTCACATAATATCTCAACCACTTGTTTCGTTAATCCGGGTCCCTTGAAGAATCCACAAGCTGTAAAATTGTAGGCACCTTGAAACACCCAAAATGTTAGGTCGTGAAGGCGCTCTCCTGGAAGGGAATTAAAATGGTGGATTTTTTCTGAAAATTTGATTAATTTTGTACGCATGTTTAAAGTAAGGTAATGAACACAGAAATTTACATGTTTTCATGGTTTAAAGCAATGAGGACTTTTCCCTATCTACATATTTACTTAATGGAGTATTCATCAATGTACGTGCCACTTATTTATTTGTTATTTGTGGCGTTTGTTTGAATTACAATTGTTAACTATTAGAGCTTGAACACTGTTCATTTTCTCCATATTTCATTAACTTTTCTAGTGTTTCATACCGAATCCATCCTGTCGATTGTGTACCCTTATAAATGAAACAAAATAATTTCCTCCTAGGTGAATTTGAATCCAAGGATTTTCCTCGTAGTATGAAATAAAACACTGATGTGAACTTAAGTTGGCAACCTTTCCATCTACGGCCCAACCTGCTCGAAACGAATGACTGTCATAAGGAAATGTGGACGATGAATGTGCAAATTGTCCCAGTGCAGCGTTTCTAACTGACTGTATTTCTGAAAAAGTTTTAACTTCGTTAACATATGATTTTACATAATTCAATTGAAGTGATTAGTTGGTATGAAAACTAGTCATACATTAGATTATTTTTAAAACCAATGCATGTATATTTTTATTGAAAAAAAAGACCTTGGAAAGAGCAAAATTCTAAGCATTTTTTTTCCCACAATATTTCATATGTCTCCCAAATTATTTCTTTTCTCAAAGTAATATGAGCTGCAACTTTGATGTTGGAATTTTTTGTTGCAAAACTGTAGATAACTATTTCAATGACAGAAAAAAATAACGTTAGTAAACTCTTTTTGTTCGTATTGGCGATGGTAGAACTATTTATAAGCTTCGATTGAATCAAAATTACATTATTGTCGTCCTGTACAATAATGATTTCTTATATAAAACTGTATATTGGATTGTTTACAGAAGTCTTTCATCTGCTTTATTTTAGTCTAATTGGCCATAAAGGTTAAGTTACATACAATAACACATTTTAACAGCAAAATATTTTCAAGAATGCAGCTCATATTGCTTCAAGTATTTGCTCTTTTTACCGATAGATTAAGAAAATATTTAATAATTGATTCTTAAATTGATCAAATTTGAGTTTCATCCATTATTTTATTCTTAATATTGTTTTTAAGAAAATGAAGGAAAGACTTCTGCGTAACGATCACTTCCTAACTTGACCATCCTTCTATTCTTTTGATCGATATTCTGCAAAATCGACAGCATTGTCTTATTAAGAATTGTTAAACAGTAAAACTTACAAAGATATAAAAATTCATGATAGCATGATACAATTTGGCATTTTTTTCATTAATTGAATTTCTAAAATCCTGAATTTGATATTTGCATTAATTAACTAAGAAACTTCAAACGACAGGATAAATATATTTACAAGTTACATTTTATTGAAAATACAGTTTTCAATATGTTGGACGATAATATTTCATAGGGAATGTAGTTGAATAAAATGTTGAAAAGTCAAAAAATAAAAAAAAGAAAGAAACTTCCCAATCAACCTACCATAGTGTTTTCATTCGCTGGTAAGTTTTTCTGACCAGAACGGACAGTAGATGATGGTACAATCCCAGTGACAAAACTTTGTAGAAGGAACATGAAAGAAGGTCACACTTTTACTTTCCTTAGAGAGACTTGCACATTGTAACAGACTTTCTACGTGTAGACTCTTACAATCCGTGTAGTTGTATTGCACAGAGGTTTCCTTCTGAACAAACCATTGGAAAGAAAAACTCAATGTCATTAAATAAATGATATTTAATAAACATTTCAAAATCGTAATTTTCATTATTTTGATTCAGACTTCAAACAATGTTAGAAACAAAGAAAATACAGGGCAAGTGTCAATCGAATTAAATAGAGCTCAGATGGTTGAGTTTATCACAAAAGTTAAGGTATAAATCAGAGGAATAATCCTCGACAATAACATACAGACCTTCTTTCTCATGAAAAATTTAAATAAAAGAAAAAAAAACACTTAACAATATACGAAAAATAAGCCTTCTTTGAGGGTAATGTTCTATTCTTTAATCCGATAAAACCGATCGCTGTAATAATATTGATTTTTTACCATTAACGTTAATTTGCATTTACTTCTTTTATTTTCTTGAGTATTTGATGTTATCTTTAACGGTATCTTTTAACGATCTATTTAATCTCACAAAGAATGCAAATTTGTCAAATAAATGTTTTGAGTTTTGAAAACACAAAAAAAGTAAATTTTAATTTTTTTCGATCGGTGATATCTCTCTTTTTGTACCTTCCTGGCTCTACATATTATGACCCTTTAAATAATTTTTATTGATATATATACATTAAAAAGTATCTCGATTAACTTATTGTTAATTATTTACCATATAAAATAAGGTAAATGTAAAATATCGTTGAAACTTTTAAAATCCACTTATGATTGATTGCAACATGAGTTCAATATCCTGTAGTATACTATTTTTTATACCGTAACATCATTTTGTTGATTTACTGCGTCCATGTCCCTTTAAGATTTGGGTCAGCGTTATTATCTAATTATAATTTATTCAACGATTGGTTCGGTTTTATCTTCTCAGAATTAATTATAATCTCAAAATACATGTATCAATTTGAAGTCGTGTAAATGATATGATTTATGCGCCAGGATCGATTGATCCGGGGCGTATATTGTTGTTGTCCTGTCTGTCTGTCTTTCTGTCTATCTGCCTGTTTGTCTGCAAACTTTTTCGACAGATGTATCCAGCGTAAACAATTGTGTGATTGGCCAAATCATATTATCAAAATTGACACGGAAAAAGTCTTTTGCACGAGGTACCAATCAGGGATTAGAAGAAACTTCCAGTCGTAAAGCTTGTGGTTAAGAGGCGTGTACTATTTACCTTGAGCGCAGGTCATCATAGGTTGTGACGTAATGGAAAACTGCATTGATAATAACAGTGCGACATTTAACTCCGGACATGACATAGTCGTATCAGAATCCCATGGGAGAATGGTGGGATTTTCAGTCCCACCAGTTATCCCACCATTCTCCCATGGGAGAAAAAATGTCAGATGGGAGAAAAAATCTCAAATCTCAGGTTGTTTTTTTTTTTGGTTTTTTAGATTTTTTTTTCATAAATACTCTAGTGGGCTTAGCATTTTAAATCAACCGTGCTTCTATTATTAGGAATTTAAACAATGTACTGTTCAATCAACACAAGCAAGGCGGTTTCTTTAATCTGCGACACATGCTAATTATGAAATGCTCCTAATTTGGTCCAATTAAATTTTTTTCATACATATTGTATGAATTTATTATTAAACTTCACCATGGTGGGAGAGTCGTATTTATCCTGCTTTAAAAATCTCCCACCATGGTGAAGTTTAAAAATAAATTCATACAATATGTATGCAGAGCCCTTTGGCTAATCATTGTCAATCATTATACAAAAACTTAAGGGTTGTCATCCTTAAAGAATGGGAGATGATCAAATGATAAATGAACCAAAAGTACCAGGTTGCTAAAAAATCTTCTTCGAAAGATCGATCAGACAGAATTTTACAGTGACCTACTTTTTGAATTTTGCAGACATTTCATTTGATTTAATGTTATTTAAAGGGCATATATATATATATATATATATATTTATAAATAATAATTAATTTCATACAACATGTATTGGTAACAATCCTCTGTTAAAACTAATGTCCAAATAACTGTATCTCATATTCTCAATGATATATATATAAAGCAAGTTTTTTAACTTGCCTATATCTATGTTCCTGCACTGCTATAAGGTAGAGTATATATCCATGTAAAAGTGAATTTCTTTGTGCTTTCTATATATATATATATATATATATATATATATATATATATATATATACGACACGAACAATAAAAGTTCTGGATGCACAGATTGAAGTCATTCCGCCCTAATGGTATTAACAAACTGAATGACTTCACCAGAATGAACGTAAACTAGACCCGATTCCTGATGATACTAAACAAGATTATTCTCTCAATTTAGTGTAAATTGTATATCTGTTATAAATTTTGAAATATTTTAGGACTTATTATCGGAAAAAAATAATTAACAAAGGCGTAAGTAATACATAGTTATGTGGGTTGTTCGAAAGTTGGTGACGCAAATAAACTGTAGAGTTTACACTAAATTGAGAGAATAGTCTTGTTTAGTATCATCAGGAATTGGGTCTAGTTTACGTTTATTCTGGTGAAATCATTCAGTTTGTTAATACCATTAGGGCGAAATGACTTTAATCTGTGCATCCAGAAATTTTCTTTGCTTTTTCTCTGAGTATCTGTCCATCTTGGGTTATGGTCAATCACCACTACTGTCATGTCCTCCCATTTGTGACCCTCAAGGTTGAAATGTTCCCCAACGGGTTCATTGAGTTTTTTGGTCCTAATGGTCGAACGGTGGTTATTGACTCTCCTGATATAAGGTAGGGGACGAACAGATGCGTCGAATTCTGGTGGCTAGACCCTTAGGCACTCCCTTGAAAGTGTGTGGGGGATGACAGCTAGTGGGCATAAGATATAGGTGGGAGTCTGTGGGTTTGGTGTGGAGACTGAATTCGATTTCACTATCAATCAGGGTAGATGTAGTATCTAGGAATACGTTTTTCGAATTAGATACGTCTACTGTAAATTTTATCGACTGATAAAAGGTGTTGGTAAACGTAATGAATGCCTCGAGGCTCTCGCGACATTCCACCCACTTCATCTCTATATCGTCAATGAAACGCAACCAGCTATGGGGCCTAGATGGTGCTTTAAGTAACAAGTTGCGTTCCAATCTGCCCATGAAGACATTGGCATAAGACGGTGGCATTTTCGTACCCATAGCAGTGCCATTAACCTGCAGGTAATGTTCTCCATTAAACATGAAGTTGTTGAACTTGAGGACATGTTCAAGGAGCTTGGCAAGAGACTCGGTAGAAGGAATTTGTATGGATCTACTATCCCAGACTTCTCTACAGGCTTCGATACCCTCATCGTGCGGAATATTGGTGTACAAAGATGTGACGTCCATAGTCATGAGGAGGGTATGATCTGGGAGGCCAGTAGAGGGCGTCTTGTTAATGTAGTCCGTGGTGTCCTTGAGATAGGATGGCAAATTCTCTACGTGTGGACGGAGATGTAAATCAATGAATTCAGAAATTTTCTCCGTGGGGTGTCCAATTGCGCTAACTATGGTGCGACCTGGCATGCCTTCTTTGTGTATTTTAGGAAGCAGATAGAATTGTCCTGGTCTACAGTCAATAGGATTTAAGGTCTCATAGACGTTGATACCAATCTCATTTTTCTCAAACATATCGTCAAGAGTTTTGGTAATGGCGGTGGAGAATTCTTTAGTAGGGTCAGAGTCCAGTTTCTTATAGAAACGTTCGTCTGAGAGTTGTCTTTGGGCCTCCGCCATGTAAGTCTCTTTATCCAGTACTACAACTGTAGAGCCTTTGTCTGCTGTCTTGATTACAATGTCATCCCCATTTTTTAATGATTGTAAGGCGGATCTCTCTTCCTTACTCAAATTGTCGGGAGTCTTGTCTGGCATTGAAAGGAGTGTCGTTGGTCATTTTCAGTGCTTTATATAAATTTCCATCCGTGACCTTGTATCTACTTGGTAGATCCGACATTTAGGATATACAGTGTTGTTGGTTTTTTAGTGCTCTTTATATCCTTTTTCGCCAACTGTATCTTCACAGATCCACCCGTATATCCATCATTTCTTTGTCTATATTTTCTGTTCTTATCATTTATTTTTGGTTATGTCTTTCATCATTTGACGTTTTTTACTATTTATTTTCTTTCCAACCTTTTCAAATTAGTTCTTTCCACTCTTCCCTTTCGAGTTTTACTCATGTACCATTTGTTTTTCAAATTTTTTGAATTCTTGCACGAATTATCTACGAAATACGTTAGAATACAGAACCATCGTTCGTTGAATCTTTCGACTTCATACGACTAAAAACTTAAAAGTAGTCTTATCATTTTGGCAATTTCAATTTCCTTTCAAATATGTCTATTAAAGATAACCCAACATTCAAACTTCTAAAGAAAGAGCACCAAAAATCAATAAAAACTGAACACCGGGTCTCCAATTTACAGACCTACTTAGAGTGTGACATTATACCGAAAGGCTTTCAGATAAATGTTACACGTAACATAGGACCAATCTCCAAACGCTTTCAGGAACGCTGGGACGTTATTACAAGGAGATATTCTAAACAAATGATGTCACTCTGTCTTTCTTGGGATATCCACAAGTTAGGACAATTGAAGAGTGAGATCAAGTCCTTAGAATCATCCCTCAACGATATCATGTCCCAGGCCGATCTTGATGAAGCCCATAATATTATAGACATCTATAATAGGGCCCTAACAAATAAAGTCAACAAGACTCAAAAAAAGAAATTTCTCCGCGACAGTGTTCCACAGTCTAGGAACAACTGGTCAGAGGTCAGAGTTAACAAAATACGTAAACCCCGCTCGAGACGCTTCAAACGCATTAAGACAATCTCGAGGGACGGACCCATACAAAACTCCTGACGTCTGCCCAGTGCTCAATACATCTAGTGCTCCTCTCTCCGAATCGGAGACCTCACTTCTTTCCAAGGGGCTAAATTTCTGCCCCACGCCACATGAGGTCGACGAAAAACAAGTCAGAGAGGACACCCGAGCATTCTTCCGGAGACTTCGTTTGAAGGAGCACTTCTCTAGAAAAGACTCCGAAGTAAATTCATACGACTCTTCCAAGCCAGATTTACACGATCTAGAGGAACACAAACTCTATAAGCCCAAGAGTGACTGGGAACCTGCACCGGGCAAGTGCGGCGCGCTTGAGTCGTATATTGACGCCGTTGAGTCAGACATAGAGAAGCTCCTTTCAATGCCAGACAAGACTCCCGACAATTTGAGTAAGGAAGAGAGATCCGCCTTACAATCATTAAAAAATGGGGATGACATTGTAATCAAGACAGCAGACAAAGGCTCTACAGTTGTAGTACTGGATAAAGAGACTTACATGGCGGAGGCCCAAAGACAACTCTCAGACGAACGTTTCTATAAGAAACTGGACTCTGACCCTACTAAAGAATTCTCCACCGCCATTACCAAAACTCTTGACGATATGTTTGAGAAAAATGAGATTGGTATCAACGTCTATGAGACCTTAAATCCTATTGACTGTAGACCAGGACAATTCTATCTGCTTCCTAAAATACACAAAGAAGGCATGCCAGGTCGCACCATAGTTAGCGCAATTGGACACCCCACGGAGAAAATTTCTGAATTCATTGATTTACATCTCCGTCCACACGTAGAGAATTTGCCATCCTATCTCAAGGACACCACGGACTACATTAACAAGACGCCCTCTACTGGCCTCCCAGATCATACCCTCCTCATGACTATGGACGTCACATCTTTGTACACCAATATTCCGCACGATGAGGGTATCGAAGCCTGTTGAGAAGTCTGGGATAGTAGATCCATACAAATTCCTTCTACCGAGTCCCTTGCCAAGCTCCTTGAACATGTCCTCAAGTTCAACAACTTCATGTTTAATGGAGAACATTACCTGCAGGTTAATGGCACTGCTATGGGTACGAAAATGCCACCGTCTTATGCCAATGTCTTCATGGGCAGATTGGAACGCAACTTGTTACTTCAAGCACCATTTAGGCCTCATAGCTGGTTGCGTTTCATTGACGATATAGAGATGAAGTGGGTGGAATGTCGCGAGAGCCTCGAGGCATTCATTACGTTTACCAACACCTTTTATCAGTCGATAAAATTTACAGTAGACGTATCTAATTCGAAAAACGTATTCCTAGATACTACATCTACCCTGATTGATGGTGAAATCGAATTCAGTCTCCACACCAAACCCACAGACTCCCACCTATATCTTATGCCCACTAGCTGTCATCCCCCACACACTTTCAAGGGAGTGCCTAAGGGTCTAGCCACCAGAATTCGACGCATCTGTTCGTCCCCTACCTTATATCAGGAGCAAAGTGGTCTTCTTAAGTCCCGCTTATGCAAAAGAGGCTACAATGCCCGCACCGTACAAACAGCTATTGAAGAGATGGCGGGACATGACAGGGAAAACCTATTACGCCTACAAGGAGAAAGACAATAGCGGCAGGGTCCCTCTGGTAACCACATACCATCCCGTCTTTAAGAACCTTAGCGGTATCCTTCAAAAGAACCTACCAATTCTCCATTCAAACAAACGAATGGCAGATGTCTTTAAGGAACCCCCATTGGCTGCATACAGACGCCCAAGGAACCTAAAGGACATGGTAGTAAGAACCAGACTGGACAACCCATTACCTAACGGGGGCTTTAAACTTGCTCTGACAGATGTCTTCTTTGTAAGCACAGCACTGACGCAGACAGTTTTAACAGCCCTGTTACAGGCCGCAGCTACAAAATACTAGGGAATTTGTCCTGTCATACTGACAACTGCATTTATCTCAACAGTTGCAAAGTTTGCTCCAAACAGTATATTGGTGAAACAGGAGATCTCCGCAGGGGAGTCAATAACCACCGTTCGACCATTAGGACCAAAAAACTCAATGAACCCGTTGGGGAATATTTCAACCTTGAGGATCACAAATGGGAGGACATGACAGTAGTGGTGATTGACCATAACCCAAGATGGACAGATGCTCAGAGAAAAAGCAAAGAAAAGTTCTGGATGCACAGATTAGAGTCATTCCGCCCTAATGGTATTAACAAACTGAATGACTTCACCAGAATGAACGTAAACTAGACCCAATTCGTGATGATACTAAACAAGATTATTCTCTCAATTTAGTGTAAACTCTACAGTTAATTTGCTTCACCAACTTTCGAACAACCCACATAACTATGTATTGCTTACGCCCTTGTTAATTATTTTTTCCCGATAATAAGTCCTAAAATATTTCAAAATTTATAACAGATCATAATTCATATGTTAAAATATCCCTGCTGTATTATTTTTCTTTGATTATTCTTTATCAAGTACAGTTACGCCATTTTGAGAGAATGAAACAATGTACGATTTACTATTGTCGTAATTAATTAGCATAATTAATTCGTTCAATTATGTAAATCGCACTTCACCCGAGTATACCCGATAGACCGGACGTATTTCATTGCGGGCCGGATTTCTTTCTTTAATAGTGTTCTCAAAATTTTCCAATTCAACATGTAACTAAGTTTGTAAGTATATAGTGTTTAGTAGTAGTGCTAGTTGTTTTTGTTTCTCTTTTTCCTTTGTTCTTATGACTTTTTAACTTTTTTTTGTCCTGAGGAAGGGACGGGGCGTCCCAAAAATTTGACAATTTTTATTGTTCGTGTCGTTGGTCATTTTCAGTGATTTATAATTTCCATCCGTGACCTTGTATCTACTTGGTAGATCCGACATTTAGGATATTACAGTGTTGTTGGTTTTTTAGTGCTCTTATATATATATATTTATTTATTTATTTATTTATTTATTTATTTATTTATTTATTTATTTATTTATTTATTTATTTATTTATTTATTTATTTATTTATTTATACTTTTAGACCTATGATCATGAAACTGTCAGTTGATGCATCTTGGGTCTTCAGAAATTGTCGACCAAAAAGTATGTCACAGTGACCTACTTTTCACAATTTATGGCTCTATTTAAGAATCTTGGGTACTTATTTGCTTAAAGTCCTCAAACGTTGTCAGTTGATGCATCTAGGGTTTTCGGAGAATTTCGACCAATTAGGCTATATTAGGTATTTATTAACTTAGAATCATCAAACTTTGTCAGTTGATGCAACTTAGGTTTTACGAGAATGTCGACCAAAAACTAGGTCACAGTGACCTACTTTTGAATATCTAAGGTACTTATAGGCTTAGAAATATCAAACTTTGTCAGTTGATGCATCTTGGGTTTTCAAAGAATGTCATTCAAAAATTAGATCATGATGACCTACTTCTGACATTTTATAGCTATAATTAAGTATCTTGGGTACTTACTTGTCTGGAATTGTTAAACTTTGTCAGTTGGTGTATTTTGGGTTTTCAAAGGATGTTGACCTAAAAGTAGGTCACAGTGACCTATTTTTAACTATATCAGGTACTTATTGGCTTAGAATCATCAAAACTTTGTCAGTTGATGCATCATGGGTTTTCAGAGAATGTCGTCCAAAAACTAGGTCATAGTGACCTAATTATGACATTTAATGGCTATATCTAAGTATCTCGTATACTTTTTGGCTTAGAATCTTCAAACTTTGTCAGGTGATGCATCTTGGGTTTTCAGAGAATGCCGTTTAAAAACTAGGTCATAGTGACCTACTTGCAACATTTAATGGCTATATTTAAGTATCTCAGGTACTTTTTTTGCTTAGAATCTTCAAACTTTGTCAGTTGATGCATCTTCGGTTTTCAGAGAATATCGACCACAAAGTAGGTCACAGTGACCTACTTTTGAATATGTCAGGTACTTATTGGCTTAGAATTATCAAACTTTGTCAGTTGATGCATCTTGGGTTTTCAAAGAATGTCGTTCAAAAACTAGGTCATGGTGACCTACTTCTGACATTTTATGGCTATAATTAAGTATCTTGGGTACTTCATTGTCTGGAATTGTTAAATTTTGTCAGTTGATGTATTTTTGGTTTTCGAAGAATGTTGACCTAAAAGTAAGTCACAGCAGTGACCTACTTTTTACTATATCAGGAACTTATTGGCTTAGAATCATCAAAACTTTGTCAGTTGATGCATCATGGGTTTTCAGAGAATGTCCAAAAACTAGGTTATAGTGACTTACTTGTGACATTTTATCGCTATATTTAAGTATCTCGGGTACTCTTTGGTTTAGAATCTTCAAACTCTGTCAGTTGATGCATCTTGGGTTTTCGGATAATGTCGACCAAAAAGTAGGTCATGATGACCTACTTTTGAATATCTCAGGTACTTATTGGCTTAGAATTATCAAACTTTGGCCATGATGACCTACTTAACATTTTATGGCTATATTTAAGTATCTCGGGTACTTTTTGGCTTAGAATATTCAAACTCTGTTAGTTGATGCATCTTGGGTCATAGGATACTTAGCGTTAGAGGCTTCAAATAGAAGTGATAGATTGTACAATTTGTCAAAAGCGATTCAAGGCCCTTGGGTCTCTTGTATTTTTTTAAAAACTAATAAGCAATGTTTGAATGAGATGATTGTTAATGAATTTCAAAAAAAGTATTTACTTCAGATAATATACGTATGAATATCAATTACTTAAAAATATTTGGATGCAACATTGATCAGTTACATATAGGATTTATCCCATATTTGAATATCTATGGGAGTAAATGTCCCATATATCATGTTCTATGGGATTTATCCCATATTTGACAATTCATGGGAGAAAATATCCCATTTGTCAGTATTCGTGGGATTTATCTCATTTGAACAATTTTGTGGGAGAAAAAATCCTAATGGGAGGAAAAATCCCATCTGAGATTTTTTCTCCCATCTGACATTTTTTCTCCTATGGGAGAGTGGTGGGATAGTTGGTGGGACTGAAAATCCCACCATTCTCCCATGGGATTCTGATATTTAGGACTTATATCTTTTAAAGTAGAGATGTCTATGAGTTCAACATGAGAATATGTGATACTGCTAAGAAATCCCACCAGGTGCTATAAAATTTTTATGTACATGACAATTAGAAATGGTAGTAAAAAGTCCGGACTATGTCGTGTCCGGAGTTAAATGTCGCACTGTTTAATGTTGATCTTCAATAATACGAAGTCTTCCTATCCAGCTAAGAAATACAACTCTGCGCTGTTCAGTAATAATTCATTTATTTAATTTCTAATTTTAATTGGCCGATCTAAGCTTTCAGATACAGAAAGTCTTGTTTTGTATAATGTCTGAATATTTTCTACCAGTAACTTATACTAGTGCTAAGTCTAAATATTTAGTAAATGTTCAACATGCCAGTATCACCTCACAAAACTCTAGTACTTTGCATTTTAAAAAGCAGTCTCAATAATTTACTTGAATGAAAAAATCTCTTTCTTCGTGTAGCATACAAAAAAAAAAAAATGTCAAAACCAAACCGATAAAGAGTTCTTCACATTCTTAAAAGTTTTTTTTTTTCCATTTTGTGTTTGTCGAGGATTTCTCCATATAAAATATGAATTTTGTATTAAACAATAAATAAAAAATATTGTTGTTTTTGCTGGTATTTTCTTTATTACAAAATATATACTTCCACCTCACACAAGCATAGAATATTATGTGATCCCTCTGTAATCTGTAGTCTAACAATGTTTCTAGGCACAGTATCTTCACATAATATGTCCACCACTTGCTTCGTTAGCCCTGGCCCTTTAAAGAATCCACAAGTTGTGAAATTATGGTCATCCTGGAACACCCACAATGTTACATCGTGAAGGCGATATCCTAAAAGAAAAAAGTGAAAGGAACTGAATTGTTTAATTTAAATATGAGTGAATAGTATAAGTAAACTATTAAATATGTTTCTTTTACTTTTTTGTCAAACGATGATTTAGGCCCCTGAGAAGTACCACGCCCTCCGGGTTCATTTGATTTTCTACTTCGAATATGATTAAATCATCATTTTGATAAAACACGGCCAAAATTGTTACACATTATGAGTTATTCATTGAATGAAACCAACGCGTCCATCAACACGAACATCCACCCAATGATAGATCGCATTTTCTTATTATAGCATTATAATTACCATAGAATTTAATAATTGCTAATTTTTAACACAGTTGTTGAATCCTTATTAAGTCAACTTATCAGTGTGTATAGTGTATCTCGCTAAAAACTTCATAGTACCCAGATCAAGCTCTTGCGTAGCAAAAAATAAAAATACAATAAGCATGTGCTACGATCAAGTTTTGAGTATCATATAAAGATTTTAAAAGATCGCATACCCTCTCCATCCTGCCTATTGTACAACCTTACAAAAGAGATGAGATAATGTCCTCCTAAATGAATCTGAATCCAGGGCCTTGATTCAAAGTTTGTAAGTGTACACTGATAAGCACTTTGTCGGTTTAGAATCTCCCCATCGACAGCATAATGTGCTGCATAAATGCCGCTGTCATAAGGAAATGTGGACGAAGAATATGCCGACTGTCGAAAGGCAGCGTTCCTTCTGGAGTATATCTCTGAAAGTTTTTAAATGAAATTTATTCATCAAAATTGCACAAATTCCACTTTCATTTAAACATATACAAAATTATTTTCTTTATAAATATATCGTTGATATATCTTAATGTCGAATTGGAGGCCGCATCAAATTTTAAGCATCATGATATCTTAAGTCCCTGTTTGGTAGGAATAAAAAAGACAGGTATGTCATGGAGCAGAATATTGGAATGTAGTCAATGAGTACCTCCATCATCTTTGTTTCAACTCAGAGTATTTAAACGTAAAATTAGGATATTGTAAAGTTCAATTTTTCATTAATTGTAATTTATGTGCTTTTTTTTATGACGTTTAGTATGATAGATCAAACTTACCTTAGTTTACTAGAATGTTGCTAGCATTAAACATCAATGGCAATGATATTGTTTTAGCAACCTACCATAGTGTTTCCATTCACTGGTAAGGTTTTCTGAGCAGAGTGGACAGTAGATGATGGTACAATCCCAATGACAAAACTTTGTAGAAGGAACGTAAAAGAAAGTCACACTTTTAGTTTCCTTAGAGAGACTCGCACACTGTAAGAGGCTTTCTACGTGTAGACTTTTGCACTCCTTGTAGTTATTTTGCAAAGATGTTTCTTTTTTAACAAACCATGCAAATGTCATGCTTATGGATAGGATATAAATAAAATGCAATACCCACTGTAAAATCATCATCTTCATAATGAAGTGAGCATTTTTAAAATACAATGTACATGAATATTTGGTAACGGTAAGGAGAGTACCAGAACACATCGGAATACCTTGATAACACTTCTTCTGTTTTTGATCGATATATTACATCAGTATTGACTAAAAGAAGAATAAAGCGAAAATCGATTTTAAAACGCCAAAAATCATGTTAGAAGGATGAAATACTATCCATTAATTACATAATATCAATAAACATGATTTTTGTTTAAATAAGATATTTGATATATTTGCATAAATGGTAAAATTTAGAATATTATGAACATAATGTCACTACTATTATAAATTTTAAGGAGGCTGGGGGGTCAACAAATTAATCACAAATTAACCACCAGATTTAACTTATATTTTAATATATGGTATCTTAAGTCGTCAGCTTTCTTTGCCAAAATTCATACATTTTAGGTTTAAAATTTGATCATTTTGTATATCTTTATATGGAGCTCTTCTTTTAAAGGAGATCGAAATGGTCTGAAAATGGCTGCCACCCCCCAGCCTCGTTAAAAAGCTGATAATATTGTCATTTTAGCCTGTAATACTTATGAATAAATAATCAAAATTCCCTTCTTTTTTCCTTTAATGGATAATTTTAGAGGCAATATTCATAGATTTAGTGAGATCCTCCCTAATATTCCAAGCTTAATCCTAACAGAAATGGAATCAGTAGGTATGAATTTCAGTAATGAACTGATCTGAAGACACATGGAAATATTGGACTAAATACTCGGTATACCAAAAGAAACCTAACCAATGAAAACGACCATATTTCACCATAAGATATTGCCTTCATTCTATACAGTTTATGTAGGTTCTTTCTTTTTGTCGTCATTGTTAAGTTTGAGTTTTCCAATGATGGTAAAGCTAAACAAAATAATCAGAGTCATTATATGTAAAAAGAAACCTAGGTCCAAAACCTTTTTGTGTATAGCTATTGGTGAAGAGAGGGGTACATGGAATCAGCTTACTTCTTTCAGTTCTACCCTAATATAAATTTTGCAAAGTCAATTTAATGCGACTGTGAAAGAAGGTCTGTGAAATAGATTTATCACTGAATTGTAAATTTGCTAAATTTATATAATGTAAAGGATAAATAAGACGAATGGATATGGATTACAAATCTAGAGTCTGGTACATGCATCAGCAAAGACAACTAGAACAAGCATTGCATGTGAATCAATTTCTTATTATTTAAACATCATTTACATGTTGTATTAATGTTATATCACTAAATTTTGCAGTCGGTGCAGTCGTATCTAAATGTGTATTATTCATTTCAAAATTAATAATAATATCAACATATGTTTGTAAATTTAAATCTGTGTAAATAATATGACTTATTTTATTTCATTAAAACATAAAACTGCTAGTTCTTGGTTTTAATATTACGAAGCCATCATATCCAACTGGGTTGCGTATTATATTCTACATAGTTCAGAAATGATACACTAATTTCTCTAGTTTTATTTTCCAATCTAAGCTTTCAACCACAAAAAACATTATTAACAATAATAAAGGACTTTTTTCCTACAACTTATTAAGTCTAGCTAAATTATACACTAAATATATAAATAACTATACAAATGTATTATTTTTTATCTTACTGTTAAGTGCTTTAGAATAATTTTCATTATGATGGGTGCTCTGCTAATGTTTTATCAATTATATCAATATTATATATTTTCTCTATTATTCCAAACTCTGCGATTGGTTATCACAAGATCACATGATCATACAGATATGTAACTACTGTTAGATTTTGAAATCGACCTGATGTCTATCAAAATATATATATTAGACAAGTAGAGCTTTTTAAAAAAGCTTACCGTCTTTAGCAACAACCGTAATCAGTATACTGATCTACATCTATCAGGCCGTATAATTCTTTTGAATTTCTTAATTTTGTATTTCTACATTAGCTTTTTACTGACATTAGCCCCACCACGGTTGTCGTTCGGTCATCTCCGTGAACTTTGTCTGGCCGAGACCTTTTGACAAACCTCGGCTGATTCCCAATCGCATCATCTCGGGTCTTTCCGTCCGAGGTCGGAAAAACAACCTCGAATGTATTAAGATCACCGAGTGTTAAAAATTTATACATCTCCTGTTTATTCAAATATTGGGTACACGGAGTTAGAAGTCCCTTCTATAGTATATTTTAGGTAATATCATTACATTGAATAAAATAAAACTCCATATTCCACAGATTAAAGGTGTCCATGCATTTATTTCAAAGATCGTGAAAAGGGAGGGTTGTCATGGCGTCTACAATATACATTCGATGTCGTTTTTCCGCTAGTCGGAAAGGCCCGAGAAGTTGCGATCGGGCTGATTCCGTCACCTTCTTCAAACAAGAAAAGGGAGAAGAATAATAAAAAATTGTAAAGCCTGCAAGCAATAAAAATAAAATTTATTTACAATGAAATTAAAGAGACCTTTTAAGTTATTGCTATAAAAAAATATGTTTTTAAGAATTTAATTACTGCTAATTTTGTTGTTCGTTTTGCCATTTTTTTAAGATTGAAAATCTTGCAAAATTGTTAAGTCATACGAAAATTAGATCATCAGAAAGTTATCTCCCTTGCCTTGAACAGCATTTCAACCAATGAAATAATTGAAAATTTTCACAAAAGAGAGGAAGTGCATAGTCCGAAGTGAAGTGAAGACTGTAAAAAAAACTTCAACTATATAATACCGTCTTCCAAGGAAGACGGTAATAAACGTTTTATGAAACAATAATATTGTTGGCTTTACATAGCTAAAATACTAAATCGGTACAAGGTTACTCAATGACATCAAACATATAGCTTTTATTTGATTTCTGTATGAACAATTCGTTTTATAGTTTAACAAACACTAAAACTTGATAAAAGCAAGAATCATTTTACAAATATTATATTTTTTTCAATGATAAATGTGACTATAGAAGTACCGTCATGAAAATCAAATATTGATTGTAACACCTACATTCCAACTTCAAGTAAGAGCAACAATAATTCAAACGTCAAAAGGTTTGTTTGTTTTTTTTCACAGGTAAATTGTTTTTATTCTAACAAATAAATCAACAACAACAAAAAGAAATCAAGAAAAAAACACACAGGCTCCGGAATAACATCAATCTTTACTTATTTAATAGCGTTGAGTGGTGGTGCAAAAATTATTTTATTTCTCAAGCAATGAACAATGGCTAACTAATACATTTATGTGACTAAGTACGTTTCACTTTGAAAAGTAATTAAACTTTTTCAACTTTTCAAAATAAGGCAATTTCTTCGTTTGAAATACACAAAATTAAGTGTGTCAAATGTGAACTATTTTTTTTTTTTTTTTCACATATTTATTTAAGAAATGAATTTAATTTTTGAAGATTCATGAGGTTATGAACTACGACGCTTCACGCCGGCATATTTCATGAAGCGCGTTAGCGCTTCATGATAAATATGCCGGCGTGAGGCGTTGTAGTTCATATACCTCATGAATCTTCAAAAAATTAAATTCATTTCTTATATTTACATAAGTTTTTTGATGACTTGCCATAAATTTACGTCGTTCATCTGTCATTTTTAAAACAAACAGTGTGCACTATATTTTTTGACTTTTTGACGTCAAAAGCGGTATTATGACGTAACAATGGAGATATTCATGCTTATTCGTGATACATACCTAATGTAGTTCATGAGAAAATATACTGCATTTTATTTTGTAAAGAATCATAGGGGAAATTTATTGGAAATGTAAATATTTAAATATAAACCAGGATTTTACAATACCCCTACAACCAAACCTGACTAGGGGGTATGGGGTGTTACAACTTAAATCACAGTCACTCAATCACTTAAAAGACAGAAGAAAGGAGGTAGAGTGAAAAAAAAGGTTACTCTGGCTGTTTTATACAAACCATACATACATTAATTAAACTATAGTTACTTTATTTTATTTTTTTAAAATAGACATTTTCTAGTTAAATATGGTTCTATCTACTATAGTATTTATATTTGGGTATTTTTGCTAACACAAAAAAATGAAACTTAAATCGAACAACTTGAACAGAAATTCACTCGACATGCATGCATTGACATAATTATATTTGCATACACACACCTCTTCATGTTATTTGAATCACGAACAAATGCAAATATATAAATATGCTTTATGAACAATATTTCACACCATCCATACACAATCTGAACTAATTTAATTTTCGTCACATTCCTAAAATGAATTTTGTTTTTCTACATTTTGTTTTCTTCGAGAAAAACCACATTAAATCAAATTATGAATAAAACAAAGAATGAATAAAAAAAATCAGACCATTTGAGTCCCCTACCGGTGAAACCAAAGGGGACTTTAGGTTTCCTCTGAATCTGTCCGTCTGTGTGTCTATATGGCGTGTCTATATCTGTCTGTCTGTGCGTAGGTCTGTGTGTCCCTATGTATGTTTTTCAGTCTGCCCCACTTGGTTTTCTGCATATTTTTTTTAAAACGCTTGCCGATATTGAACAAATTTTTGGTGTCTAAGTGTATCTTGATGAGTTACAGATTGAGTATGGATTTCGCTGGCTTCAATGATTTTTACAGCATTGTAACTTTTTCAATTTTTTTAGGTTTTCCGAATTTTTCTTAAAAACCTACATATATTGAGCTGAATTTTGATTGTAAATTTGACGAGTTGTAGATGAAGTTTGCATTTCGTCCCGCTTCATCGATTTTTGACGGAATTACGATATTTTCAATTTCAACGGGAACCAGATTTCACGTGCAGGTAAAAAGTTAGTATTGATAATGCAATGCAATTAGAATGCTTGTTAGATTTATTGTCCCCCGCTTGAAAAGTGGTGGATATTAACTTGGGTTTGTCCGTCCTTCTTTCTGTCTGTCTGTAACGCTTTCGTTTCCACACGATATCTCGAGAACCCTTT